TGGTTTTTTTTAAAATTTTTTTTTTTTTTTTTTTTTTTTTTTTTCTTTAAATTTTGTATTGAGATATTTTAAAATACATAACCATTGCATGCATGTTTTTCACGAAATGAGAAAAAAATTTTCTTTTTGGATTTTTAATTATATTCGCCTTATTACTATCCCCAAAATACATAATCAGAGATTCCTAGTGTTTAACATGTTTAACAAAAGATACCTTTTTTTGTCACAAAACAAAAGATACAAAGATTTCATTAAATGTAGAATCAAAAATATTGTTACATATGTATATAAATTCTAAACAATTCAGCTAAATCATATAAAAATTGTAAATATATAATCGATCACAGATCACACATGTCTTTCCTTATGTAAATAGCTGTAAAGAACATCTACAAAAAATAGCTGTAAAGAAATTTGTTAACTTTTTTTTTTCCTTTAAAAAATAAAACAATTTATTGACGCCAAAATCAAACCTAAATAATAAAATAAAACAATTCATTATAGGCTTAATTAGCTGAATACTCAAATAATTTCGTGTAATAATACAACCATATATACAAAAAAAAAAAAAACATGTAGAACAAAACCGTATCCAGATAACCGGTTTAACCCAATCCCCCCCCCCCCTAAATCAAAAACCCTAAAACTCTAAACCGCCGTCGCTCTCCTCCCTCACTCCGCTGCATCCTCTCCTCCGTCACTCCACAATCGACAAAAAAAAATCCCACAAAAAAATCTCAAATTTTGTCAGGTGCCCTAATGGAGTTTTCCTTACAAGAAGACGAATTTGGCGGTGATTTTCCCGCCACCAATGCCACCAGAGCTTCAGGTCTCACTTCCTGACACTGACACATTACTGTCTAATTTGAGTGTAATTGTCCTCATTTTTCATCTATATTTCTTTTCAGGTAGCAAAAGAAGCTTCGATGGTCTTGAAGACGATGAAGATGACATCTTCGGATCCAAAAAGGTACCTCTTTTAATCATAACAACATTGAAAGTTTTGGACTTTATATGTGTTTAGTACTTTTAGAGTTTGCCCACCTGCTTATTGGTTGCCTCTGAATGTATATATATATACTACCCTCAGTGATTTTTGCTGGCTTCTATTGTTTTTTTTTTATCTCTGTCTCATATGCTAACACTATTAGTTTGGGCTAATGAGAATTTTGTTGTTTTGTATTCATTTAGGGTCGTACCAAAGCGGAGGAAGCTGCACCTGGTGTTGCTACTGGCATGATTTTATCACTACGAGAGAGGTTTTGTATCGATTGTTTTTTTGTATTTAATGTCTTTCAGTTTTGGTAAAGAAGAAAAAGAATGTATAGTTCTAACCTTCTTTTTCTTGCTCTATCTCTCTTGCAGCCTTCAGAATTGTAAAGATGAGCTTGCTTCATGTCAAGTATTGTTCTCTAGATCTGTTTGATATTTGGTGTTCTTTATAGCGTTTTTATGAATCTGACTGTTATTGTTTTTTTTTTATCAGAATGAGCTTGAATCAGCTAAAGCTGAGATTAATAAGTGGAAATCAGCTTTTCAGAATGAGTCCTTTGTACCGGCCGGAAAATCTCCTGGTTAGCCTTCTCCAGTTAATGTTATGGGTTTGCAGATTTGAATATGTGATGCTAACTCTTGACAATTGAAAATGATTATGTTTGGTGATGGCTCTTTCAGAACCTAGGTTTTTGATTGACTACATCCAGAATTTGAAGTCTTCTGAGAGATCTTTGAAAGAACAGGTTTGGCATTGAGAGATCTTATGTATTAATACAAAAGTCTTGATTTTTTGGTTTGATGGTTTTTTCTCTTTTAGTTAGAAATCGCAAAGAGAAAAGAAGCTTCATGCATTGTGCAATATGCGAAACGGGAACAGGAAATGGCAGAGTTAAAGGTAATTCTTAAAGAATTCATTGCCTTCTCTACTACATGTTTTCTTGATTACTACATATAATGAATGTCGCTAAAAATGCTCTCTTTCATTTGTGTTTCTAGTCAGCTGTTCGAGATTTGAAATCTCAAC